AGCGGTCTTGTTGATTCCAACCTCGTAACACCGCACTATGAATTTCTCCTTATAAGAAAATCCGTCTTCTGCCAAGCTTCCGAGCCGAAGCCGATCCGCCAAGCTACTAGAACCACTCAGAACGCTGGCTTCACCTCTATCGGAGACAACAGCAGCCACAACCGGAGTTTTGGTCACCGGAGAACATACGGAGGCGAAATTCCGGCGGCGGAAGGAGGAGAAGAGGCGTGTAGGAGGTGCAAGGAGTCTACATTGGGAAAGAACATGGATTTGGTCAGTCACATTGCAAGGGACCTTCAACATAGCTGAGAGAGGATAAAGGAAGGAGTGGAACTGGAGGTTGAACAGTTTCTCTCTCTAAAATTCTCTCTCTCTCTCTCTCTCTCTCCTTGATTTCGGGCTGGTTTTTTGTGGAAATACTGAGCGATGTCGATGGTACCGAGGAGATGGTGAAAGTACGATAATACCCTTCTGATTTTGTCGAAATTACGAAATTGCTATTATTCTGAATTCTGGTTGGTTGTAGTGACGTCGAGCAGCCAACTGTAAGCCGCAATATGTTAAATTTCCTTCCTAAGCCGTTGGTCTACTTTGCTTTCTAAAATTTTAAAATATCTATTAGGTCGGGTTCATATCTTACTCGATCTACACGTTTCATTATAAAAATAGCTAAATACGAGCTCACCTTCATAGTCACAAGTCCACCGTGGAGGGGCGTCAAGGAAGAAGAAGCATCACACTATCAGGGACGAGAGACAGTGCAACGAGCAGACCGTCATACATTGACATCTCTACATAGAACTCGCTTGGTCCTTTTCTGAACGGCCACGCTGCAACTTTCTTAGTCCATAAGGCTGTCGATTATGCAAATACTTCTACCATGTCTTAGAGGGCAGTTGTTGCATCTAAGTTGGTCCAGGATTGATTCTCAGGTTTCGTCGTACTCTCCTCCATCGTTGGCTCAATGGATGTAGAATTCTTCATAGTCGACATTAAATTAACATCCAGGTCCATTACAGTACCATGTCATTTAGAGTCTGTGTTTTTGCCCTGTTGCTCTATCTTCCCGTATACGACGAGACGACTAGGTCAGAAAATCACGGAAATGACTTGTTACGGAGACTGAGAGTAGCTTTTGTAGTTGAACTTACCGAGAATCTTAACCCATTTTAATTTTGGGGAATCGAGAATGTCCCTGAACCTCGTTTAGCTAACAAGGAGAAATTTCTTACTGCTTTTTCTCTATTTAAATGAGGATTCTCGAGTTGGAACTATTTTTTTTAGGGCTTCAAGTTAAATAAATCTCGAGAGCTTTCGAAGAACAACCATAAAAGATAAACTAAACAATTGGGTCAAATCTTAAAAGTTTTAATGAATTAATTAAAAGGAAACGAATCAAATTGAAAACTTTTGTTTATCCTCAAATTTGTGTGTGTGTGTGTGTGGTTGCTTCAAGTTCTTGAGATCCACAAAAAAGCCAAACGAAATGGCCCATCGATCCATCAACCATTCACATAAACATTCCGCGCCCCCTGCACCGCTCTCTGCCGCAACTTTTCCATCATTCCCATAACCTTTTTTGCCCTTTTTCGACGGAATCTTATTCTCTGTGGCGCCATTAAAGCGCCATTCTCTTTTCCCATAGCGATCTCTCAACAACAAGATCAGAAGATCCTTGTGTACTTGGGTGGGCTGAGAGCTCATGAAGCAATCAGGATCTCATTAGTTTCTTAGAATTTCTCTTACACAAGCCCTTACACTCACTTAGTTCATTCAATTTTCATTGTTTCCCCTTTTAGGGCTTGTTTTTTTTTTTTTTTTTTTGTTTCTGAGGTGATTCCTGTATCTGGACGCATTGTCTTACCGATTCTTTTTTGATTTGTCGCTTTGTTTTCATAAATATAGCAATATTTCGTCGTTGCCCCAGTAGTGGTGTTCATTTGAGGAGTTGGGTATCCTGTTCGTGCGACGAGTCTTTCCTTCTACCCCTGATCTGATCTGAGTGTGGACAGTTTTTGGAGTTGGGTTTATTGTTTTTCCCCTTGTTTGGGATTTGGTGAAGATTTCTTGGCGGCAATGGACGCTTCCGGTGAAGAACTTTCAGATTTGGAGGTTGAGAATGAAGAGAATCATTGCGGGTTTGAGGAAGAACCTGAAACTATTGCTATAATGGATGCCGTGAAAGTTTTGTTGCAGGGTTTAGGGGAAGATATCAACCGAGAGGGCATCAGAAAGACCCCTTTCCGTGTGGCCAAGGCTCTTAGAGAAGGAACAAGAGGTGAGAATTGCCTTATTTCACAGCCTTCATTTTAGTAGTGCAAGCCTCTGAGAGGCATTAGTTTATTGAGAATTGTGAGTTTTGTCTGTTGTTTATGAGTTTGTATTGAAACTATCCATTTTGAAAAGTCTTTTAACTCTAGTTCTTTAGGACAAAAAGCCTATCAAACTGGCTTAAAATTGAAGTCTTATGCCAAATTTGAAGAATAGAATTCAATGGATTACTGCTACAAACTTGAAATTTCACAATTTTGATGATGATATTGACTGGGTTTGTCGTATTTGTGCATAGAAGTTTATAAGAATTCCAGGGTTTTTCTTGATGCATAGTTTGTTTCAGAACACATTCTGAGATTAGGTGTAACAGCCGGTCTTCCCTTCCAGATTTTAAAATAAAATACATCCTTTAGGGAGAGGTTTCCACACCCTCATACGAAATGTTTCGTTCCCCTATCCAACCAACGTGGGATCTCACAATCCACCCCCTTTGGGGCCGTCGCTGACACTCATCCCCTTCTCCAATCAATGTGGGACCCCCCAATCTACCCCCTTTGAGGCCCAGTGTCCTTGCAGACACACTGCCCTGTGTCCACCCCCCTTTGGGGCTTGGCCTTCTCGCTTGCATATCGCCTAGTGTCTAGCTCTTATACTATTTGTAACGGCCCAAGCACACCGTTAACAGATATTGTCATTTTTGGGCTTTCCCTTCTGAGCTTCCCCTCAAGATTTTATATGCGTCTTTTAAGGAGAGGTTTCCACACCCTTATAAGAAATGTTTTGTTCTCCTCTCCAACCAACATGGGATCTCACGTTAGGAAATTTGGAGATATTGGTTTTGAGAATTATCCTTATTTTGTCTCATTGTTACTGCATTGAATTTGTTCATGCTATGCTTGACTTGGCATATATCACCTGGATGGTTTCATACATTGAGTTTTGGTTCGTGAAATCGGATAATTGTTTAATGAAAATTTTCATCTCTTCATTCATTTACTTCACTGCAATTTGTATAACTGAATACAAATTTGTTTCAGGCTACCGCCAAACAGCGAAGGACATCATTCAAAGTGCTTTGTTCCCTGAAGCTGGACTACATAATAGTGTTGGTCAGGCTGGAGGTGCAGGTGGGATTGTGATTGTTCGAGATCTCGACTTCTTCTCGTACTGCGAGTCATGCTTGCTTCCATTTCAAGTGAAGTGTCATGTGGGTTATGTTCCATCTGGTCAGAGAGTCGTAGGGCTGAGCAAGCTCTTTCGAGTAGCAGACGTGTTTGCGAAGCGACTTCAAAAGCCTCAGCGTCTGGCTGATCAAATTTGTTCAGCTCTACACCATGCTATCAAGCCAGGAGGTGTTGCTGTTGTACTTAATTGTATGCACATCCATTTCCCCAGCTTGGAGTCGGTCTTTCTCGATTCGAAATCCTCGGGATGGATCAAGTTGCATGTTCAATCTGGTTCGGGAGCTTTTGAAAGCCAAGATGCTGATGCCTGGATGGACTTCTTCAGCCTTTTAAAACTTAGAGGCTCAGATCTGAGAAAAGCTTGTGCATCAAATGCTCAAGTTTGGTGCCCATCTCATTTTCCTTGTGCTTCTAAATTCTCGACCAAAATTGAATCGACTAACCCGAGAATGACCTCTGCTGTGACGTCGATTTTGAAGTCATTAGGTGAAGACCCATCAAGAAAGGAGCTTCTTGGAACACCTGGTCACTTTGTGAACTGGCTAATGAACTTCCAAAACTGTAATGTTGATATGAAGACGGATATGAAAAAGCTCAATGGCTTTGCTAATGGTAGAACTCATCTTGAACACGAGAACGGCAACCTCTCCGACAAACAGATTCAATCAGAGATCAATTTCTTGTTCTGGTCTCAATGTGAGCATCATTTACTCCCCTTTTATGGCGTCGTGCACATAGGATTCTTACGAGCTGATGGACTCGTTCCCTTTGAGAAATCACTTCTAAACTCGGTAATACTTTTTTATGGTTTGAAGCTTCAAGTTCAGGAGAGAATGACCAGACAGATAGCAGAGACAGTTTCATCATTAGTAGGAGCAGACGTGATAGTCGTTGTCGAGGCAAGTCATACCTGTATGATCTCAAGAGGAATCGAGAAGTTCGGTAGCACGACAGCTACAATTGCTGCACTCGGTTGGTTTTCATCCAACGCAGCTGCAAGAGCCATGTTCTTGCAGAGCATTCCAAAAGCTACCATTGGTGAACTGTAAGTTCAAGCTTATGACTATCCTCTTTTCATTTTTCGGGAGGTTTTTACTCGATGCCGTTGCACCGATATTGGCGCGGCTTCTTCCCGATACCTTTTTGCAATAAACTCTTGGGTCATGCCGAAAGCAGTTAGAAGTTCTACTCAAATTGATTAGTAGCAGCATACACATTTGGTTGGAAGCAAGATATATATATTTTGTGGGTCATCATCCCATTCATAGCCTATTGTAGTTGTTTTACAAAGGAATCCAAAAGGGATACCATTCATACTCTGTTTTGTGGGTTAGGAGGCCAGGAGTGATAGCATTTTACCAGTTTCCATAGCCAATTTTGGTGCAATTTCTACTCTAAGATGTATCTCAATAAAACCTATATGTATTCCAAACCACAATTTGTCTATCTCTTTCCCCTCTTGGGGTCTAGTTCTGTTTTCTAGACAGGGAAATGTTGTCTTTTGGACTGTAGTAGTTCGTCATCGACTTCGATAGCATCGTTATCTTTGGCTTTATTGAGGCATATCTAGTGTGTTCGAAGACTCTGAAGATACATTTTCTACGATATCGAGACAATAATAGTACTCATCTTTCTGACCGAAGAATTTGTTGGAGTTCATCATAGCAAGGAGTTGAAGTATGCCAGTAGTCTAGGCTACTATCCCGAGCTCAGGCTACCTCTTTCAACCTCTTTCAACACTCCTGGGGTCAAGTTCTTTTTGGAAAGGGAAATGTTCTCTTTTGGATCGTAATAGTTTGTCATCGACTTCCATAGCATCTTTATCTTTGGCTCTATTGAGGCATATTTGGTGTGCCTGAAGATTCTAAAGATATCCTTTATTACCCTATCGAAACAATACTAACACTTATCTTTCTAACCGAAGAATTTTTTGGAGTCCACCATAGCGGGGAGTTGAAGTATGCGAGAAGTCTAGGCTACACAGTGCTCCTGAGCTTAGGCTACCTCTTTCAAAGAAAGGAAAGACCATTCAAGAATTTTGTTAGCTCACGAGTTATGAATTTTAAAAAGTTTCTACGTTTGTTGATTCCCGTCTTTTCTTGTGAGACTTTTTTTTTTCTTTCTATCAAAAATTTAAATATCGAGTTTCAACCAAACAAATTATCAATCCATGACCATCTTAAAGTATTTTTTTTTTTTTTTTTTTTTGCACCAGATTCTGGCTACAATCATTCAAAAAATGCATGAACGCCGAGATTTTCATAAAAGAAAAGAGCAAACCCTAAATAGAACAATAGGACGATATGGGCATGCAAGGAAAGTAGCTTATTATTTATTATTTTCATTCTAATTATATGAATCAAATAAACTTGTTTCCTTCTATAGCAAATGGATTAGCCTATATAATGAATCATTTGCAGATGAATCAAAAATCATATACTCGGGGACTTCAAGAACCAAACCCAAATCAAGGGACAAGCAATATGAGCTCAACCTATATGAAAAAGAGGCATCTCAAAGCAGCAGCCTTCTTGCTTGGGCTGCTGGCTTCGGCACTGACTCAGCCATTGGCAATGGCACTCGGCATTGTGCCAATCCAAAAGTGGCGTGTTCATGTGGTTAATAGGCTGAATAATGCCACTTTGTTTGTGCATTGTAAGTCTAAAGATGATGATTTGGGATTCCATAACCTAGTTGGTATTGGCTCTGAGTTTCAATGGAGTTTTAAGAATAATCTTTGGGCAACAACGTTGTTTTGGTGCTTACTAAGAAAGCCGAATGCTTACGTGTCTTTTGAAGCATTTTGGATTGAGAAGACACATATTTGGCTCAATTATAGGTGTTATGGTAGAAACTGCATTTGGACTGCTAAAGACGATGGAGTATACTTGAGAAACAATCCCGATGGTGTTGATGAGCGTGTTCATAAGTGGAAGGTAAAGTCTATTTTATTTGCTAAAGTTGTTCCGTGATATAAGATTTCGTGCATAGTTCTTAGGTTGACCATATTGACGTTGTTTTATCGTTTGAATTACCGATTATAACTTTTTGTTTATAAGTTGATTGTAGGACTTCTCATAATCCGTTTTACCAACGACCATAGCTCAAGAATATCACCAGACCATAAACAAGTCTACAAATGTTTGTCCAAACAAGCTTCAAAACAAGTCTACAAATGTTTGTCCAAACAAGCTTCAAAATCTTTGTCCTGGCATTCATTTGGTTCATGAAGTTTATCGTCTTCGAATTATAAAGCGGACTTGATCTTCATCTCCATTTGCTTCCCTTATAAAAACTATATATATTTTCACAAATTCATACATCTTCTACCTTCATTCTTATAAGATTTTGTGTTCATAAGAACTTACATGAAAAAGATTCAGTACATACAGGACTTGTAAACATTAAAATATGATGGACAAAAAAAAAAGGATAATCTCTAGTAGTTAATAATACATTTAGAAATACATAATTCACAACTATCATGCTGTATGATTCAATAACATGCCACACAATTCACAAGCCAAGAATAGCTTAAAGGACATCGTGTTCACCTACGGCTCCACGACGATTTTACCAGTGGCATGGCCGTCCATGCTTTTTGCCCAAGCATCCTCAGCGTTGCTGAGAGGATACCGTGAATCGATCACGGTCTTCAGCTTCTGTTCCTTGATCAAATTCACAAGATAGCACAGATTCTCACTCTTGAAAGACATCAACAATGGTACCAGCTGCTTCTTGGAGAAGGTAAGTTTCTTAAAGGCAGAAGATATCACGGTAAAAGGGTTTGGAGTAATGTCTATTACTTTACCATTAGGACTCAAGTTTGGTTCAAATACAGACCATGGGATCCCTGATGCACAATGAACCACTGCATCATACTTCTTACCTGATGGGCTCTTCAAGGCTGCCCCTTCTGGTGTTTTGTAGTCAATAACCTCATCTGCTCCTAATCTTTTCACAAACTCGATATTACGGGCACCACAAGTAGCTGTCACATGTGTGTTTCCCAACTTTGCTAGCTGAACAGCGTAATGTCCGACCCCACCAGATGCAGCAGTGATGAGAATGTTTGCTTGAGGGCCACTTCCATCAAGTTTGATCCCAGCAGCTTGGGTGAGAGCCTGGTGAGCTGTCAAAGCTGCGACAGGTAGGGAAGCACCGTCAGCTGCTGTTACTTCGGGAGGCCTATAAACTGTCTTCAACTCCTTTCCTACAGCGTATTCAGCAAGTCCACCTCCAGTCTATCATTGTAATAAAAAAATTTCGTAAGATGAACACTTCCGATAAAATGAATCAACAAAATATCATAGGATTCAAAATTGGTTCAAGTTTAATCGAATAGTAAGGTTGTTCTGACCCAATTGTTTCACAATTCAACAGTTTAGTTCAGAATGAAACTAATAGATCTCCTATTAAATGTGTGTATTGGCATAGGCGCGAGAGAAAGGAGGATGAGGAAAAATATGTTGTTATGAGTTAGTTCATAGGGTGGGACCCAAAATATAGTGAGTTTGAGTTGTGGTGTGGAGATTTATAATTTATAAGAGAGACCTGGAGGGGTACTTTTCTGGTTAGATTGTCTTAGAGGATTGTATTTGGGAGAGAAAGGAAGCTCTCTAAACCTTTCACTCAGATCTTCCCTCGACTCAGTACCTCTATTGATAAATAAATTCCTATTCTTATCAATATTGGTATCCGAGCAAGTTTGTGACTGGGAATGCCTACTTGAACGGAATCTCGAACAGAGACTATGGAAGGAAGAATGAATGAGTTGCGGAGCTTGATAGCAAAGGAGGTGGGTTCAACCCGTGAGACTATTAAGACACGGATGATGAATGAGCAGTTGCAAGAGCCTGACTGAGGCAATAAGGGAATGGAGGAGGTGTTTGTGCAGTTCGAAGGGATGAAGCAAACGGAGGAAATAGCCCTAGTGGGAAAGAAAGGGGTAAGAAACCCGGCAAAGGTGATGTAAGATTTAGGAAGGAATAGCAGAGAATTGAACCTGAGCAAACCGTTGGCACCAATGTTTGATCTTCGACTGAGGAAATTGGAGATTCTGGTTTTTGAAGGTGAAAATTCATATGGGTGGATCCAAGTCAAAAGTTATTTTGTGGTTAACAAATTGGCTGAATCAGAAAAACATGAAGTTGCAGTGTTGTGCAAGAATGGCTAGCCTTGAAATGGCATCGACAGGAGGTGTCAACAACCAATCAGAACCTGGAAATAATTTTGACGACATGTTCTTCAATGGTTTTAGCTAACGAATCAAGGTACGTTACAAGAACAATTTTTAACTTTGCGGCAGGATATGACGATGGAGGAATATTGTGATAGGCTTGAGGAATATTCCGGGTCATTGATGTTGCTAGATGACGATACCCTAGAAGAGAAGTTTAATGATGGGCTGAATGAAGATATAGAAGTGGAAATGAGGATAATTTACCTGTCGGGCTGACATTGCAAATGGAAATGGCCCAGAAGATTGAAGACAAGTTATTGCATCAGAAGGGGAAAGGGGATTCAAATTGATTAGGGTTCACAGATATCGTTCCAGTCGATGCCCCTGCCTCATTTGTGTTGGGTTTACATTAAATTCTTTGGATTGAAGGAATTAGGAAAGAGTCAACAGGACTGTACAAGAGGCTAACGGAATCGAAGTTGCAGAGTAGGAAGGAGAAAGTCATGATTTTATTTAATCAATTACCATCGTGTTCCTTGTTCAGTCGGGCAAAACTAACCGTACAAAAGGTGAATGATGACTTACAGCATGGCTACCAAAAGTTACAACTTTGTCCCCAGCTTTTAAGCTTTTGACTCCTGCTCCAACCTCTATGACTTCTCCAGCAATATCAGTACCTATTTCAAGTTTGTAAGGGAAATGAAGTAACAAAGAGAAGACAAATCAACTGTATATGTTTCCTAAAGAAAAATTGCAGGAATAAACAAAATCAGGGGTAAACAGATAGAACTTCCAGGAGGTCTTTACGCTAAATTTAAGATACCAGGTATATAGCCAAGGTTAAAGACAAATTTAGTTGAGAAGATTCTATTGCATTCTGCATCTATCTTGAAGCCGTATTTTATTTATAACAAAAATAAACATGAAAGCATGTTTTTGAAGAACAGAACAATTGTCTACTCAAAAAATTAGTTTCGACAGACTGTCCAAGTCTAGTTATAGATTTTAGAAAGGAAAAAAAAAAAAAAGTGTGTTCTTGTAATTGTTTTTAGAACTACCAACTACCATCAGTGGTCAAGAAGAGTTATGGAGAAGATAAAGGACTAAAAGAAAATAGTTTCAACTCATGGTGGTCACCTTCCTAGAATTTATTATCCTACAAGTTATATTGGAAACCAAACGTACTAGCATCAAGTGGTGGTCCTACAAGAATAGTCAAGGTGTGAGCAAGCTGGCTTGGACACTGGCGGATATAAAAAAAAACAGAGGAAAAGTTACTTGTAATATCAAGAAGATTTAAGAGTTCGGCAAGTCTTAATTGCTCTATGTCAGATGGTAACTGCTGCATATTCCAAGTTTGGTCAATCAGATTCATCAGCAAAATATTTGGTGCGTGAATAGTTTTTTTAAGGATGGAATTATCAATAGGCACACTAATCAAATGTACACAGTCTTAATTCCTAAAAACACAGGACCTTAGATAGCATCAGAAGCCTATATTTGATCTCCAAGATCCTTTTCGCAAAGATTGAGATGGGTACTTGATGTTGATTAAACTACCTATTTCAATAAAGGGGCGGCCAACTATGCAGCAGATAATTGATTGAAGAAACTAGATCAGATAATAAACTTCACTTGGTTAGGAGAGCTCTTTTTTTTAGTAGCTGATCCTTTTACGTATTTTGCTGATTCAAATTTAATTGAAGCATTTAAGGTAGAGAGAAACTCATCGCTAATTTAAGAATGACACAGTTGAGAGCTTTGTTCAGGTGAGATGGATACGTTGAAAAAAAATATATCCCCAATATTCTGTAAGTTTTTCCAGGAATTTGCCGGGGGGGGGGGGGGGGGGGGGGGGGGGGGGGGGGGGGGGGGGGGGGGGGGGGGGGGGGGGGGGGGGGGGGGGGGGGGGGGGGGGGGGGGGGGGGTAAAACCAATATTCTTCTTGTTTTATAATAAATGGAGATTTATCAAAGAAAGAAGCAGAGTAGCCAACAGTCTGGGGAGAGGAAACCCCCACCCAACAACCCACAAAAGAATGCCCTTCCAATCTAAAATAATCTTCAGAAAACTATAGTTATAAAAAATAAAAAAATAAAAAATCCGTGGTTTGAGCATCGCTGCACACAATATCAATATTCCTAATACTTCTAGTCCGTAATAACAATTTTAGACACATTTTTAATCCACGTAGACAACCTGGTGGAAAAGGTCAACAACATATTTAATGTTTTGGAAGTTTTTTCCAAAAAGTTTAGGCATAGAATCGATAATCATAAAGTTTTCTGGCAGATATACTATTTCAGGCACATTTTTAGTACAATTCAAAGCAACAAGAGGAAACTTATAAAAGGACCTAATTCTTTCACCATCAAATTAAATTGGAAGCTCTACATCCATGTTGGTGATTCGATCTTCTACAGACCCTAACTCAAATAATCAGATGGCCTTGATTTAGTGGGAGGGTTTGCCTCCAAACAAGTGTTAGCATGGGCGAAGAAACATCTCTCTTATTTTTCTTCTTTTCTCCTTGAAGACGAGGTGAATTTAGGGGATAGAGGTATTGATAGAAAGGATCCAATCTAGTTCACTTATACTGAGAAGAAATCATGTGAGCCGAAGTAGTATGAAGATTATTGCTAGGCATTAGTTAGCTAACAAGTCTATAAGTCATCCGTGTGCTTACATTTTTGTATTAGAGTACATTTTTTTATTAGCTAACAAGTCTGAAGATTTTTTAATTTTATATATGTATAATTCAAGTATGATATTCAAATTTTGAAAACCCACCTGCTCACTTCCGACTTTACCAACCCATGCCTAAACTTATTTCATTTAATACGTCGTACTTCAAGCTTTTAGAGCAAGAATTCAGGTCATACATCCATAACATCAACCATAAGTAAGTGAAGTACCAGGAATATGAGGGAACTTGCGAGGAAGAAAGGGACGTATCAGTCCCTTCTGAATTTTCCAATCAATTGGATTCAAACTAACTGCTTCCACTTTTACCAAAACCTCATCTGAGCTGGGTCTAGGAACAGGAACTGTCACATGCTGCAGGAAGATAGAGACACATCAAGTAAAATTCCAGTATACCATTGGTTTCTTATCTAAGAAAAATAAAATGCAAGAGAAGTTCCAGCATATTATCATAAAAGAAATAGGCTCACTGCTGTCAAAGAACTTAAAATGTAATCAACACCTTCCTAATCCTAGCCCAAGTTCTTCAACTTATAAAAGGGTGGTTTCTAACCGGTTTTAACCATTTTGGGGT